AGCCTTAAACCCTAATTTTTAACTAAAAATGCATTTGAGAGCTATCCTTATAGGTCTTTCACTTGAGTTATAAAACCAAATTAGATTTTTTTTTTTGAACTTTTATTACTGGGTATGAGGTAATTTTCTGAACTTGTTTAAAATTCAATTTCAATTTCTGAATTTGATAATATTATATTCAATTATGAATATTAATGAATCAACTTGGATCAATACAATTTGACAACTCCATATATTTGCTCTCCCAAAGTAACCTTAGATTATCTACCTTCAAAATTTTAGAGAAACTTTGCAAAATTTTGCTTTCAGATATAGCAAAAGGAATTAAATATTAAGAAAAAAAATCAGTTGTCAAAAGAATTGGGATTTTAGCCACTTATTTTTCCAAAATTTTGTATTATCATTGTCAACTAAGCCTTATCCCAACTATATGGGATCAACTATAGATCCTTTCTTATTACTTTCACACGAGTCATTTTCGAGATACCCCTAGATCTTTTAGCCTTTCAACTTGTTACAAAATAGGTGTATAAGATACCCTTGGTTCTTTTAGCCCTTCAACTTGTGACAAAATTGGTTTTTTATGCACGTGATTATTTTTCCAGAATTTTGAGTAAAATGTTAATATGGACAAAATAATAATAAGTATAAAAATATAAATACTAACAAATATTAATAAAATAACATTTATTATAAAAATTTGTTCAGAATACCAAAACTAAAACAGAATTTTGAATAAAAGGTCATCTGCAACTTAAAACCTTGCATGCAGTGTGTATCTTTGTCACCGCACTACTTAGAATGGTTATTGGATGAGAATAGACTCTCGGCTTAGCGGTTAGACCAGGACTTCTAAACAGGGTGCAACTTGGGTTGGGTCGGGTTGGGAATTTATCAAATTTTCACTGGTCCGGTGGTACCGAACCCAAATCCAATTAGCAGCCCCCATCATCAACCCTTTTATTAAATATTAGTTTTGGTCTATTAAAACAACACCCTCTTATCAATATAAAATGCGCTTAAAATAATGTATCTGTTGGATTTTAATCTCATAAGAGATTAAATCCAATGGGTTTGATTGGTCAATTATATGAGAAATTGCATTTGCACATTGGATTGAAAAAAAAAATCAGTTTTTCTCTTACAAAACCCAGTTTTGAACTTGTCCCACATTGAAAAATTACAAGTTTTGTTTTCAGTATTTCAATAGGAGCTGATTTACACTCCTTAGAATTAGTAGAGGAGAGTATGGGGATTTGATACTGTGCAACGCGCGCACATGTGCGTATGCGGCGCAATGAGGCGCACTTTGCTCGCACCTGCGTGACTCGCGATGGGTAGCTTTGGTTTTGGTGCGTTGCTGACCGATCACCGTTGATGAGATCAATGGTCACGATTCGATCGGGTGTGATCAAGAGGCACAATTCAAAGTTAACAGTCACTAACTGTTAACTACTTTTTAAACAGTCACAATGTTTGAAATTGTGACTGTTCAAGGTGCCTTCTCTAAACCAGCACCTACCTTTTCCTCATACCTCTTCACAAATTATTTAAGGAGCATGAATCAGACTCCAAAGCACACAATTTCGAAATTCACTATATCTCTCTCTCTCTCTCAGTCCGGTCTGTTACAGTCTCACAGAAGGTTTCTTTGGAGACTCTTCAATTTTGCTGGTTGCAGATTCTCGCCCAAGGCTCTGTTGTATCCTGAGAACAAATTTGCCTGTAACCCAACAGCAAACTCAGTGCAACTGAGTGAGGGCAAATAACGTTCTAAAGACAGTGTCTTCAGACGCGCCTTAGAGCTTCTTCTCCTCCAAAGTTACAGTGACCCACTTTGTCCAACAGTATCTCTCATGGATTACCAATGTTTTAAAAATTGATCTGGAATAGAACCACTTTGGACACCCAATTTTAGATCAATGGTTTGACCATCGGGTCCTAATGGATCAGCCTGTGACATTTTAACAAATAAATAAAATAAAATAAAAAATTGGTGCAAAAACTGTTGTCTAGGATAAACAGGTCGATGGTCCAAACGTATCCGGATTGAATGGTCTAATCATCTGCATAAAAAACGGTTTTAAAACCTTCCGTGCTACATAATTTGCCTCTTTTCTTATTTGGTTTTAGTGCTTATTTGATAAAGAAGTACTTATTAAAAAAGCACTTGTAGGTATTTGGTAAAAAAGTATCAAAAAATTACTTATTTGATAAAGAAGTACTTATTAAAAAATCTACTTGAGAGTTGCTTTTTTAAGTACTTATTAATAAGTGGATCTGTGAAAATTTTGGGACTAAAAAGTTTCTATTTATGTTTTTAAATACCCAGAATACTCCCGTTTCTCCTTAAACCCCCTTCTTCCTCACTTGAATAAGGTTGAGCATACCAGTGGTGGCACCTTTCTTGGGAGTGAGGAACGACCCACAACCGTCAAACGAGCTGCAAATTCACCGGTGACCTGGTCGTTTTCATGTTTGGACTTATTTTCTACATATATTTTTAAATATTTTAGTTTCTTTTGAGATTTTAAATACTTGAAACTCTCTTTACCAGATTTAGTTTTTTTGGGGTGATTTCAGGCATTCTCACTATGTTCATGTTGGCAACACTCACGTCAACCATCCTCCTTCTTCGTATTTATTTTAAAACTACTTTTAATATAATATTTTGATTAAACCCAATCTATGAATGAAGACCAAAATTATCATTTATGTCAATATAAACATTTACCGAAAAAGTAATTTACCAAATATCTCAAACCTAATAAATACTTAAAAACACTTATTAAGTAGCTTACCAAACAACCTTAAACAACCTTTTAAGTGATGGTTAAAATAAATAGCATTCATCTTTCGATGTCTTTATGGTACAATCCTACATGGCAAATGTAAACCGGCCATCGACATGACCCGTTTCGACAAGACAATTGGCCGTAAGCCCATAAACATTAATACATGACAGATATGGACTATTCGATTATCACCTATGCACGACATTCTAGCTCGATCATCTCTCAAAGTATAATCCGTTGGATCGGAACATCGGATATTGGGAACTGGCAAGCTGCATTTGCTCTACAGTAAAAGCCGTGTAACCCGATTGGGGTCGGAAGATCCAATTTCAACGGTTTTCATATACGGGGCCTATAGTTTTCTGGCAGATCCAATTCGGGCAGCTTTTACTCCGTACTTGTATGTTTTATTTGATGGGAGATATTCTCAATGCAACAGGCAACAGCTTTGATCCAGTACCAGTAAGGACAATTGGAATCGGCCCATTATCTAGAAGGAATTCAAGACAGTAAAACGAACGAAATAGATAAAACTCGGACCACCTCCGTTCCAGTATTTACACGTGTCTTGCCACTCTTAAAGTTATCCATTACCGTACGAACAAAACACCACGTGTCATCACCAATCACAGAAACCATGTCAGATGCTGACTCGGATTATAGTCATGTGGGCCACGCTCCATCACGGTTTCACCCCTTGTGAGGCTCGATGTGCGCTTTGGCTTTTTCTCAAAATATACGCCGCAAGCTTAATAAAGTTGTCAAAATCTGTGCATATTCACAACCGCCCATTTTGGACCTCGTGGTCCATGTTGGCATGTTCAAACCAAGCCGCCTTGGACTACTCTCTCTCCCACTTGATAAAATTTTTCATTTTAGTTATTTTAATCCAAATCATTGTCCTCTACCGACTTGCTGCATAGAATTCGGTTTCATTTTGTATAGGCGGTTTAGGTTTTTATCCCAATCGAACGATTGAAAACATGCTAAGCAGAGTGATCAGAAGGCGGAGAATATTATTCAGATCAGGCTTATGGTGGAATTGGTGCAGCATATAATTTCCTGGCCTCCTGCCAAGGGCAATAAAAAGGCGAGAAATTGGCGAGATGGCATGTGACGGTCAGAATAATCCAGAGAAGTTTGTGCTGGGAGCTGACGTCTGTGGGTCCACGTGTCACATAAAGAAGTCCAGATTCACTAACCCACCCTCTGTTTAAGAAAGCTGTGAGCTTCATCACCCCGGGGGGCAGTGGGGCCCATGCTGACACAGCACACAATCAGATCCAGCCGTGGCTCCAATTTGCTGTCAACGTATTGATCAGCAGTGGGGCCCTTGCTAGATACGAACGAAGAGCTGGCAGCTTGGGTTACGTGTACTTGACAACGGATTTTTTTTATACATCGAATCACGATGTGGCCGATAAGTCAATTAAAAAGATCTACTTCTCGTTTCACCRATATATCGTACTCCCTTCCTTTCCGTGACTCGGGATCTTCTAAGCAGTGTATCACTACATTGTGCCGATCGGCCCAACGAGGTATTTCTGTTTTCTGATGCTTTGATTACGGACCACGCATTGGACGGCTCAAAATATCCATATCTGGGTCCCACTTAGCTTAGTACATTATAATGCTGTGAGTTGTTAATCAGATGCCGTTGTTTTTTGTCGCTACTGATTCAGGTGGCTTGTCAAAGAAAAGGAAAGGATTTGCTTCCTTTTGGAATTTACTCGGATTCCGAAGGCACTCTCGACCCCGCAAGAACCCTGCCCACGCCTACCCACATGTCCAAATGTTCTCCATGTGTGACTGTGATATACATGGGCAGGAGATCCGGACTCCGCTCGACTCATTTCTTTTTCTTCCCATGTGAGTGAGTGTTATGTAAGTATAAATTACACGATATAAAACGGCACATCGAGATCCCTAGTCTCAAAAGATCTGCACCGAACATCATTACTGGCTCGTCTGTGCCCTGTGATAGGGAACATCGCTGGACTTTCCTGCACCAAAAGGGAAATACGTCTATTGGGTCCTTTCCAAAATCCTTCTTTGTTGTGATATAGTTCGAACATTTTAATAATCTTATAGAATAGTAATGTGAAATCATTGGACGGTCTTTCTTGCCACGTGTCGTTGCGAGGTGAGATCTAAGAATGGAATATGCTCGACGTTTAACGCTTGGGTACTATATAAGAATGTTTTTCCAGCTTTCTCGTCATCCATCGTATTTGTACAATATATTCAACCAGCAAAGCTGTTGAGGCATTCCTGTTGGATTACACTGTACCGAGTGATTCCAGTTTAGGCTTTTCGATTCTTCTCATTAAATCTCTCTCCGTCTCTCTTCTATTCGATCGAGCTCGAACGGATAAAAGCTCGCGCATCGCCGGCTAAGATCCACAAAGGTGAGTTCAAAATTTGAACAAATACAAGCTCTCTGTGTTGAGTGGTTTAGTTCTTTGGAGGAATTTTTTAGTTGTTCTCGCGTGTTTGGCTATGGTGCATTGGAATCTGAGGTTGGTTTTTTTGTTGATGTTTAAGATGCTTAAGGAGAGAAATGCAAGGCGGTTGCGCTTTCTCTCTAAAAACTGATGATCCTATATGTTCTTTTGATCTTCGGTCTGGAGATTTATCTGGTAGTTTCTGGGGTAAATTAGATAGTTCTGTGAAATTTAGGTGATTATTTTGTTGTTGGTAATCGCACGATCAACTTGAGATTTCTAATTTGTAGTTGTGGAGAGGTTTGCTGCAATAATTGGTGAATCTGGTGATTGAAACAGAAAGTGATAGTACGGACCTCCTCGGTATAGTGAGGAGCTTTGCTTTATCTGTTGATACATCTCGAATAAATCTGGAGACTTCGGTTGGAGTTCGTTTCGTCATTGAACTGCGTGTCTAAAGCCTAATAAATCATACGCGGAGGTTCTAGAATGAACTTATCTGGGACCAAAATATCTGGAATCTCTTAGCAAGATCCTTTTAATTTCGATTCATATTTCTAAGCTGTCGTGGTCGGACATGTAGGTTTTTCTTAGCGTCTTTGCATTTCAAAATCCGTCCGTCCATTTGCCATCTCTTTCCCCATTCTCTGTCTCCTTTTAATTTAGAGCCTTGATTTCATTTCCTCTGCATTCCTCCTGTTTTGAAGTAGTTTTTACGCGTTTCCCTCTCAAGACTAAACACGAAATTTCGAACGTACAAATGAAGCAAAGAGTTCTTATCAGTTTATGCGATCTATGCATCTCCTCCCTCTAGGGCTGAGGGCTCCAACCTCATTTTCTCTGTTCGCTTTTCTTTCTTTGCAACGTTTCATGGTTTGTCCTATTCGGTCTTTCACTGTCCCTGTTAACTTCTGTCTACTACGAATATGTCCGGTGATGGGCATCAGTATGCAGTGCCATTGAATATTTAAGGGTTTCTAACCGAAAAGGGCAACTTTTTGCCCTGAATATCAATAAAAGATAATAGTTTTATAAAATAACGACAGTAAAGTAACTTTTTTTTGAAAAATATCAAGGAAGGGCAATGACACTGTTCATTGTCTTCCTGTTTCAGGCCTCTTATCTCTCTTATGAAGCTTCAAAAGTTTCATAAAGATCCACGAAGCTTCGAGTTCTCAAAAGTCGCACATCGGGTTTGAGGTCATCTCGAGCGAGTCTCCGTCTCTCATGGCGTCGCGTGCTGAAGCTTCCTGATTCAGAAATTGGAAAAATCGAAGCTTCTTGGATCTGGAAACCAACTTGCATTCTTTACACCACGTGTGCTGTAAGATCTGTTTTTCCTCTTCAGTCTTCCCTTCTGCAACAACATCGAATCCAGGGAGAAATGAAAAGAGAGAGAGAACCTCAAACCCGATGCGATACTCAGCTTCAAGAGAACGGTTTCATTGCAATTCTAGAATAGTAACTGTGAAGAAAACGCGCCTGTGCCTTACTCCGCCTCTCGTATGAACAGTGTATTCGGATGAATAAGAGGTAGAAGAAGACAATGAACAGTATCATTGCCTTTTCTTGATATTTTTTTTTAAAAGTTACTCTATTTTAATTATTTTATAAAACTATTATTTTTTATTGATATTCAAAGCAAAAAGTTGCCCTTATCTGCACAAAAACCTAATATTTAATTCTTTTGAAAAATTTAGAATTCGATCCACCTCGTTATGGCTTCAACTCTGAAAAAATGAATCCCCACTGTCCACACTTTACAGTAGAGCGCTTGCCGTTTAGTGGGTGGGTATGTCGGTTTTGTTGATGAGTGATACCTCCTAACCTAAACCGCTTAAGGCGCAAGGCGTCATGGCGTCATGGCGTCATGTTCATAATTGATGATGTCACCGACAACTAAAATTAAGAAGTCAAGATCTGCTCCTCAGATATCCCGTTCCCTCAGAGAGCGCAATTCACACCGACTTCACTACCCATCTGGCCGTGTAGTGCGAAGCAGATTCCGATTCCAAATTAAAATCTCGGACTTGGAGGCCCCATGCCCCCAAAATTAACGTATCGGCTGATACATATGATCCACCGATACGCAATACAGGCTCGCTAGGGGTAGCCGGGCCAAAATTAACTTATCAGACTGTCTGTGTGATATTTTAATTCTTGTTCGGGCCTAAGATTTGGGTTCAACAATAAAATTTGGGGCTAGGCCAGATTAATATCAGACATGGCCTAAGGTCCGTTTAAGTTCGACCCAATCCAATTGGTTGATCATTTCTAATTCGTCCCAATCCAGTCTCAGCCCGGCCGTAATATATTTATATATTATATTTTGTATTTTATTTAATAAAATGACACATATGATATTTTATATTTATATAATGTGTGATAAATTATATACAATTATACATACAATATAAACTATTATATATTAAAAATATTGTGAATAGGCCAAAAAATGCTTATATATCAGGCTCGTGGTCACGGTCTATAGACCTTGATAAGGTGCTAAGCCCAGGCCCAGCCCATGATCATCCTGTTAGTGCGAATTAAAATTTGCTAGCCTCAGATTTGGACTTAGCCCTCAAACAGCCCATAAAATTTGAATGACTCRAATTAGGCTTAGAATCAGGACAGCCAGGGTGGYTAGTGAGGATCTTTTGGGCTCAATGATGTGTGTTTGTTTGCACGCACATCTCAGGCTTCCCCCCTTCCCGAAAAAGAAACGCCCAAAATTACCTTCTTTTGTGGGTAAAATAACCATGCATATTTCAAAAAGAAAAAAAAAACAACTATATTAACTTGTAAAATTAGAGTTTACATGCATTCTGCTCAAAGCAATTTGGTAGAATATCTCACCAATAGTTAAACCTGACCATGAGTTTTCAATCAAGCTGAGCGGCACCGTGCCAAGAGATTATGGGCTCCTGGAATCGGACTTCACAACCAAAGAATTACACCCGACTTAAAGTGATGCTTCATAAATTTCTTTGCTTCAGTGGTACGAGACCTCCCAATCCTGGTCAATGTGGGAATCGATCCTAGAGCCACTTGGCACCTACATTACGTAGCGCCCATAAATGCTATGACTTGCATGAGACAATTGAAGTGGAAAAGCTTTTCAATGTGATATTGTTTGTCTGTTTGAAGTGAAATCTGTTCAATTTTGTTTTTTGTATGTTTTAGTTAAACGCCTGCCTGCATGAAGTCAAAATTGGAACGAATATCATCGTTTCAAACATCGCCCATCTCTAATAGATCGATGGCTTAATGCAATTCTTTGCTTTCTTTTTTCTGGGTTATGATACTGAAATGCAGTGCCAACGGTGTTGTTTTCTGTTTTATGGCAGAGTAAGCATAAAAATGACGGTGACACCTAAGATCTCCATCAACGATGGGAAGTTGGTTGTCTATGGGAAGACCATACTGACTGGGGTGCCGGACAACATCGTCCTGACTCCCGGAACTGGCGCCGGACTTCTCGCCGGTGCTTTCATCGGTGCAACAGCCTCCTCTAGTAAAAGCCTCCACGTCTTCCCTGTCGGTACCTTAGAGTAAGCCCACCTATTCCAACCCCTGATATAATTCCTTTCTTTTAGAATTTTTGTTTGTATGAACATGATTCTGTCTTCTGTAATTTCTCTCTATTAATCATAGGAGAAGCTTGCCAAGACAAAGAATTTCTTTTCTAAGGTCATTTTGAATTTTGATCATTATATCATCTATTCTAAAAAAATGCATTAACATTTCCATAGTCGCTTCATTACTCTGTATTTAACCCTAAACCATTTATATCCTGTTCTGCAGTTTTTGTAATGAGTTTTTTTTGGCAGCTTTTATAATGAGTTGGAGTTGTTTCTTTCTATAGGTTGAACTTTGAACGGAAGGGGGATAACCCCGCCCAGCCCGGGCTTAGCATTAGATTTTGGATTGGTGCCGGTTTAGCCCGAGCTGGCCAGGGGACTAAGAAGGATCACTTCATGTTGTATTTTCGTGTTATTAGAGCCTGCAGGCTGCAGGCGGCCTCCAATTTTGGAGTGATGCCGAGTGATTATCTGAAATATGCCATTGGTTATTTATTTATGGCTTATTTACCGGTCTGCACCCTTTATTATCGAACCTTTATAGGAATTTACCTAGTCCTATGTATCAAAATATAATTTATTTGTTTTATTTTCAACAGGGGTCTCCGGTTCATGTGCTGTTTCCGGTTTAAGCTATGGTGGATGACCCAGAGAATGGGGATGTGCGGTAAGGATGTTCCTCTGGAGACCCAATTCATGCTCATAGAGAGCAAAGATGGTACCGTAGAGGGAGGTGACCAGGAAGATTCCCCAACCATTTACACCATCTTGCTGCCTCTCCTGGAAGGCCAGTTCCGTGCCGTTCTCCAGGGCAACGAGAAGAACGAGCTGGAAGTCTGCCTTGAGAGTGGTGAGTTATCAAGAAAACATTTTCAGTGTACCCAGTCCTATCCCATTCCCGTCGGTGAACGATTCATTTCAAAGGAGACGAACCGTCACGAGATTTGGGGAGGGTTGGAGCTGTCGTTACGTTCGTTACTCGGTTGTAATATGACAACTACTACAATTCGAAGTCGGATCAATCAATCAACCTATGAACAATCAAATTTATGGAGTTCATAGGTTTTGGTTGGAGAACAAAATAAGGGTGGTGGCGTTCGAAAGAAACGAAACGACTTTGTTTTTGTGTTTGTTCTGTGATTGATTTTGCAGGAGACAATGCTATTCAGACCAACCAAGGCCTTCACCTTGTTTACATGCATGCCGGGGCTAACCCCTTCGAAGTCATCAACCAAGCAGTAAAGTGAGTTCATTTCTCTTATTGTTCTCCTAAAACTATTTCCCCTTTTCTGGAAAGGGCCCTGAGCAACAGGGAATTTCCCCAAGATGTTATTTTTGAGGCATTTATGACTAACCATTCGTTTGCTTGCCTGTGAAAACACAGGGCCGTCGAGAAACATATGCAAACTTTTCACCACAGAGAGAAGAAAAGGGTAAGACGTCTCTTTCTTTGTTTCTTTCATTTCATCAAACCTCACTCCGTAGCACAGAAACATCCGAGTGCTTCTGAATTAATCTGACGATTATTTTTTCTTTTAATTGCTATGCAGTTGCCTTCTTTCCTTGATTGGTTCGGCTGGTGCACATGGGATGCTTACTATACCGGCGTGACAGCCGAGGGCGTCGAAGAGGGTCTTAAAAGGTAGCAATCGAGGTTAATTTTGAAAATCGATAAAGGGGTATAGTTCTGGAGAGATTGTTTCTCAACTTGAGTTTGGATTTTATTGCAGCTTGTCGGGTGGAGGGACCCCTCCACGATTCTTGATCATTGATGATGGTTGGCAACAAATTGGCAATGAAGTAAAGGATAACCCCAATTGTATTGTCCAAGAAGGAGCACAGTAAGATATTTTTTCTTCTCTGTTTTCGCTGCACATTCAATGTGCCATCTCGTTATAGTTGCACCCATACCAGGTCGTTTATAGAACATTTTGATATTTGCTATGCCTAGAGTATACTATATTTGCTATGTCCTACCCAACTTAAGTAACAGATATCATCTCTCATGATTTGAGCTTGGTTTTGATCAACTGTTGTCATACTTAATTTGTCTGGTCATTGGTGCTCTGCATTCTGGATCACACTTGAGTAGCTTTAGGAAATTTGGCAGGGGATTGGTTGTTTTCTTCTGGTCTTTTACCATGTGTGATGTCCCCTTCATCTGTGCACGATGCTAATTTCTTTTTATGGATGATTTGAAATTTTGAATGGAATAGTTGACATATTGTTAAATTGGTTCTTGACAGATTTGCTAGCAGACTAACAGGAATCAAAGAGAATGCAAAATTTCAAAAGAGGGGCAAGAACAGTGACCAAGCCTCGGGCCTAAAGCACGTTGTAGAGGAAGCTAAAGAACATCACAACGTTAAGTAAGTAGCTCATCTTTTTCCTTTGTTGGTTCTCTTTATATTTGGCTAGATGTTTTTGAATGCTTAAGGGCCTTCAACCTATATATAGTATCCACTCTGACATCAAATATGCCCTGTTTTTTTTTTTCTTTTTTTTTTTTGTACCATTGTTGCGTGAAATCAAGTACATGAAAAAAGCTATTAGGTTTTCTTCTCTCCACATTTTCCAGTCTGTACAAAATCCAATACAAATTAAAATCACTAATTCAATTCATCAATCCTTTAGGGCCTTGACCAAGGCCCCTAGTGGTTCATGGTTGTCCATACAAAATAAAAATCGTAAATGAAAAACCAAAACTATAAGACCATTAGACCATTAAACTGTTTGTTTCATTTAGAATTTTCTTACGAGCTAGACTTGTTGTGCAGGTTTGTTTATGTATGGCATGCTCTAGCTGGTTACTGGGGTGGTGTAAAGCCAGCTGCTGCTGGCATGGAGCACTATGACACTGCATTGGCATACCCTGTGCAGTCACCTGGGGTGTTGGGCAACCAACCAGATATTGTCATGGACAGCCTTGCCGTGCATGGTCTTGGACTAGTTCATCCAAAGAAAGTCTACAACTTTTTCAATGAGCTCCATGCTTACTTGGCCTCATGTGGAGTAGATGGAGTTAAAGTTGATGTACAGAACATTATTGAGACCCTTGGTGCAGGCTATGGTGGGCGTGTTTCCCTCACCCGTAGCTATCTTCAGGCACTTGAAGCTTCCATTGCTCGTAATTTCTCCGACAATGGATGCATTTCCTGCATGTGCCACAACACTGATGGTTTGTACAGTGCCAAGCAGACTGCTGTGGTAAGAGCATCTGATGATTTCTATCCTCGGGACCCAGCTTCTCACACCATCCACATCTCTTCAGTTGCGTACAACACTCTTTTCCTGGGTGAATTCATGCAGCCTGACTGGGATATGTTCCATGTAAGTACTAATGGATCAAACACGCATTCCATGTAGTCCACTGGGTTCTTATTGGAGTGATTAACAGGTTCACTTCTTCTAAAATTATTGTCTTGATCATGATGTAAACACTCATTTAGCCATGTCACTAGGCTTTCAACGGACTAATACTAGATTTAGTTGTCCTGAAGTATTATCCAGTTATAGAGAAGGCCTTTAACATCAAGCATACTGATAAGATACCATTCTACCATGCAGAGTCTACACCCTGCTGCAGAGTATCATGCTGCAGCTCGAGCGATTGGTGGATGTGCAATCTATGTCAGGTATATCATGCATAACGTTATCAACAACTTTTCTCTATTAAATTATTTTGTTAGGCTAGGAAACAATTTGAAACTTTATAGCCTGAAATTACTGGACCAAACGTAAATGGCATCTAATAAGTGTTCTCTTTGCCATATAACAGTGACAAGCCAGGATATCACAACTTTGATCTCTTAAAGAAGCTGGTTCTTCCTGATGGGTCAGTGTTGCGTGCCCAACTTCCTGGCAGGCCTACCCTTGACTGCCTTTTTGCCGATCCGGCTAGAGATGGAACCAGGTCTGCTGCTCTATATCCATCCTTAAGCATCTATTGCTTTTCCACATTACTACTACATCCTTGCTTGCTAAGGTGAAATCAATCTAAAGGCATAGAAATTTATAATGTACAGCTTGCTCAAAATATGGAATGTGAACAAATGCTCTGGCGTGGTGGGTGTATTCAACTGCCAAGGTGCAGGATGGTGCAGTATTATCAAGAAGACACGCATCCATGATGCATCCCCTGGTACTCTCACTGGCTCTGTCTGTGCCACAGATGTTGACCAGATTTCTCAAGTTGCGGGTTCCAATTGGGATGGTGAAGTTGTGGTGTATGCAAATAGATCAGGTGAGCAAGGTCCCCAAGTTTGTTGCGCCCACAATGTGCACAACACCAGAGGGCCACCCAGTATCTTTTACAGTCAACTGAAGGTTCACTGTTGCATTGCAGGGGAGGTGGTTCGGCTACCAAAAGGAGCTTCACTGCCAGTGACCCTCAAGGTGTTGGAGTATGAGCTTTTCCACTTTTGTCCCCTGAAGGTGAGCCTATTTAAATCTTCAGCTCGAGTGCAGACCAACATCTTTCTGGATTTTGTGTGATTTTGAGCATACTTAATCATAAGTTAGTTGTTTTTTCCCCCTCATCCTTTATTCTGTCACTGCAGGAAATAACATCCAACATCTCCTTTGCACCAATTGGCCTTCTTGACATGTTCAACACCAGTGGAGCTGTGGAGCAATTTGATTTCCAAATGGCAACCGAGAAGACGGGACTTTTTGATGGGGAGGTTCAATCTGACATCCCATGTTCCCTCAGTGAAAACCGGTCACCAAGTGCGACAGTAATCCTCAAAATCAGGGGATGTGGAAGATTTGGTGCCTACTCATCCCAGCGCCCACTGAAATGCATTACAGAAACCAAGGAAATTGACTTCAACTATGACTCCAACACTGGATTACTAACCTTTACCCTTCCTGTCCCGGAGAAAGAGATGTACAGATGGCCAATAGAAATTCAAGTTTAAATAGATGTAGAAGCAAAGTAATAAATCATGTCACTATTTTTAGGGAAAGGCTGAGGTTGTGTAGGTGGCGTTGGGAGTGCTAGATGACAGGTAGGAATTTATGGTGACATGCATCTGTTTCTGATTAATTGATTATTCAATACTTATGTATTCTGATTTCTGAGAAGGAAAGTAGATCACTTGTTTGTTCTTTGAAATTCAATTTTTCATGTTCCACTGTTTTCCTATCTATCATGGAGCCTGAATCTCTGTTGGACTGTGTTTCCTTTCTCCTCTACTCAAACCAACCATTACTTGCAGCTATCTCTGTGATCTGTTCTGAAAAGTGTTTTCAGATCGTTGTTGACCTGGCGGTTAAGCACTGATTTAAAAAGTTGCCTAGGGGAAGTTCTAGCTTCTTTTCTTGGTTCTTTCTGACTGGGTCCATGAGCTTATCACTCAATTGAACTGTAATATCTGTCACCCTAAATCCTAATAGCTTTTCGGGTTCAACACTAGTAGGAAGAATTAAAAAAATTTCATCTTATGTAAATGAAGCACCCAAATATGCTATCAATTCAATGAAGTATGGAGATTTTAAGCATTTTGTGGCATTTGTAATTGGCTGTTTTTTGCTAATTTGTTCGCATTAAAGTGCCACCACGGTTTAATGGTTTTGTACTTTTGTTCTACATGTTTGGTGTAGCTCATGTGCCGAATTAATAGAATAGCAATTATGCTTTGATCCAAGTATTAAAAATGCCAATAGTTTGTAGGAAAGTTAGATTTTATAGGTTCCAAGGGAAACAAATTAATGTGAAAAAGACAAAAAAATGTAGGTTAAAAGTGATCAACTGTAGGCAACCCAAGAAATGGGGATACGAATTTGGGCAGAATCTGGTCTTGAGAAGGTTATACAGGTTATTCTTCARAAAGTTATACATGTTCTAAGATTCTACATTTGAAATTGGAAATACATACGATTATCTTTCTAAAAGCTGGCCATGTATGGGATTTCTGTATTATCCGTTATATATTTGCTTTCATTGTTGTAATGAACTATTGAGTTGTGATAAGGGTGGATTTGGCTCTCCAATGATATTGTGACACATGGTGACACCTGGAATCACTTTGGCAACAACTTGCCTTATCCAAGTTGATGGTGTTCCAACACAGGTGCGACCTGCCGGCCTGGCCCAGGCGTGACCTGGTGGTCTGCGAGACGTGCTTGCCGACGAATTCGGCATGCATATCCTAACATTCCCACGATCCTTGGAAGTTGGTCCACGTGCCGAATGATCCGGAGGGTGGTCAACGTGCATGGCGGTTACCTCTAGGAATCTCGTACCACTTAGATGATCTCGCAAAAATCTCGGATATGGTACGTGAAGCTCACACCAAACAATGCCTATATAAAGGCACCAACCCCAAAGCAAGCGAGCAAGTAAGCAAATTCTAGTTCTCAGACTTTGTGGTTTTTAGCTCGTAGTCTACTATGAGAGTACTGACTTAAGCATCGGAGTGACGTTGCCGGGTTAGCCACCCCGGGTCCTCTGACATTTGGTTCCTCACAGGTCTCTAAAGAGCAACGAAGCTTATCAATCCATCTTGGCACCTGGTCAGCCCGGCACCTCCCAGGCAGCTCGGCACCTGGTCAGCCCGACACCTCATAGGCAGCTCACCACCTGGTCAGCTCGACACCTCATAGGCAGCTCGGCACTATAGTCAGCTCGCCACCTAGCCTGCCTAGCTCAACTCAGCTCGGCAGCCAAAGTTCTCCACTTCGGCCTGAGTCATCGGCCACTTGGAAGCAGACCAAATGATGAGGTTCTTAGCCAAAAAATCGATACTTCATCAAAAATTGATCCATCAAGTTGTACAAATAGGATCTTTTTTGTTAACTTGTTACTTGTTTGTTTCTAAAATGGATTTAAAATTCTTTTTTAATTGTACGACTGTACCGAATATTAGCAATTCATATAAAGTTTTTGTTGGAAAGTGTATGTTCTTAGTTTCAATCACATTAATGTATATAGATATTTATGAATGAATACATTATTGTTTTACGTTCGAATTGATGTATTTTTGTGAATTATCCCTTATAAGACTTGTGCTTGTTTAGAAAATTCTTAGCCAATGGATATTGGTGAGTTTTATCCTAATAAGGCCAATACTAGTGTATTGTTAATTTGGTGGAGTGACTTGTTTCAACTATTAGGATTAGAACCCAAGCATAGCTAATAGGTGTTTGGAAGAAACACTAAACCCGAACTAATTTTTAGTTATTCTTTGGACCTTAGAGATGGATGAACAAAATTGTAAAGTTGTACTTAAGTTAAAACTTGATTATAATATTACACTAGGTTTTGGACTGAACTGCTTTTAATATGTTAATTAGTGAGATCCATCATGGGTTAAATATCTAGGCATATTAGGCAGTTAAGGAAATTACCTCAATGTGTGATCATAGTAATAGAATCAACCCCACTATTAGACAAAATGAATATTAAGGTTTACATTTTCTCTAATGGAAATCTAAACTCCTAGTAGTGGATTCAATTGAATTGAAATCTGATTTRCAAAATGTATATATATGATACACTATTATTTTATGAAAAAAGATTTGCAAAAAGTTTTATTCTTGGAATCCATTCAAGCAGAGAGTGTGATATTACATTTTAAAGTTAAGGAAGAGGTCCTTCCCTATGAATAGTGCTTTTGATAATTATGTGCCAAGAGGTTTAAGTATAAGAAACTATTGTAGGGCTGATTACTTAATGTGCTTCACTTTACATAAGTCTATTATCTTTGGGCCTTCATGGGGTGGTTGAATTCAATGATCATTCATGTTTAAATGTTGGGCTTAAGCTGAGCCCAAGTTGATTAGGTCAAGGGTTCACTACCCCTATGCAGTAAATTCACCCTAACCTTTTTCAGGGTAACTTACATGAGCCCTTTAGGGTCTCATGCCATTGTGATGCCTAAGTAAGTGAGCCATTAAAGAAAAAATGGGCCCAAGGCCATTACTAATATGATTAGTTACATAGTCACATGGCTTGGGGCAATTTTGGGTTATGGATATGGGTATGGAGCATCCATTCTTCTAATAAGATATTGCTTATCATTATAAGGATGAATCCTGATCCAAATATGATTGGGTTAGACCCTAATTGGACTAAGAGAGTGCTCTATGTAAGGGAAGAGAAGGATGGGACGAACTAAACCATTCTTTGCTCTTTCTAACTCATTTTCTCTATTCCCTTGCTCCCCTAAAACCCTAGTCCAAACCAACTATAGTAGGGGCTGACTTCTTTAGTTCCTGGCTGAGTTTTTAGAGAAAAACATCAGTTCTAACAAGGTTTAGACAACAACATCGGTCCCAAGAAGGTTGGAGATTCATATTACACAAATTGCATCAACTTTACTTCATTACTACAACATTTTTAGCTAAAGGCCGATTCAGGTCTAACATCGGGTGTGAACTACCACTTTAGAAGTTGCTTTTGTGGACTTCATATTAGATATTGATAAAAAATTAATTTGGGTTTCAAACAATGCTTTCAAAATCGGACTAGACTGGATGGTCGAATTGGTTGACCCGAGAACCGGTCAGGTAACTAGTTCTGTTTTACCCAAAAACTACTTTTTGGTAAAAAACTGTTGATTTGGTCAACGAACCGTTGACTCAGGTAGTCAAACTATTGACTCGAACAATAATTTTTGGTCATTTATTATTATTATTATTATTATTATTAAGTCAAAGTAGGTCACTCATTCGAAGCAAATGACCAAACTATTCAACTTGGTAACCGGTCCGTAGAATGGTTCTATGTCTAGTCCAGTTTTAAAAACCTTGGTTTCAAATATGGTTAAGTCTAGTGAAAGATCAATATTAAAAATTCAAATTTCAAATTACTGAAAATTGATTCCAAGGTTGGGCAAGAAAAATTTTAAAAATTCAACCAGCTACTAAATTTGCTTCTTACATGCTTAATATGATCTCTAACTCTTCCAACAGTCAAAATTGGGGTATTATAAGCTTTTTCACTTTTTTCACTTTTTCACGTATTCGTGAAAGTGACGAAGGCTGAACTTTATGAGACCTCAAATCTCATGATTAATATGATGATCATCAATTTTTTATTAGAAATGAAAGAATGACTCTTCCTTATTGAATTAATTCAGTTTCTAATCAAAACCAATCACGTAAACGTGTAGGTTAGCGTGAGGGTGAGTATCGTAACGCAGTCAACTCCATTCGTTAGAACAGCTTCCATTGAGTCTCTGCACCTATCCTTTTTTGATTCTHGCTTTCTGAACCCTTGTTTGYTTTTTGAAAACAGGATTTKGCTCAGGATTGCCCATTTTTAVTTCCAGGGTTTCTCTGAATTTGAAAGTTTTCACTTAGTAAGTTTTCATACCAAGGCTCAATCCAATCAAGTCYGTAGCGTCTACCAATTTGGAAGCCATGGTAGAGAAATGGTCTTTGCCAAGAGGCTTGGTAAAGATGTCTGCCAACTATTGAGATGGAGTGTAAGAAGTTCGAAGAAGACCAGATTGCAATTTTTTGCAAATAAAATGACAGTCGAGATCTACATGCTTGGTGCGCTAGTGGAAGACTGAATTATGTGCAATGTGTAAGGCGGCTTGGTTATCGCAGTAGAATTGAGCAAGTTGGAGAGGGACACCGAGATCTCAAAGTAGGAAACTGAGCCATTATGCTTCACATGCTGCAGAGGCGATGGAACGAACGGTACTCAGCCTCGGCTGATGAACAAGCAACTATTGATTATGTCTTGGACTTCCATGATATGGGACTATTGCCAAGGAGATAGCAATAACCTGTTATAGAGCGACGTGTGGTGGGGCAAGAGGCCCAATCGGAATCACAATAAATGTGTAGCTGAAGTGTACCGGTGTAGTGCTGTTGATGCATGGCGATGGCTCGTTGCAATTGATATATGCGAGGTCCGTTACTCACCGTGAAGCGTTCCTTGAGGTCCTTTCAGACTTGTTCAGCCAATTCAGCGTAAAGAATAGTAGGAGCTAAATCTTTGTGGAGAGCGTTGAGGATCCATGAGAGTACAATATTGATGTAACCGTTTCTGATCACGTACCAATTTTTTTGTGATGTACCAATTTTTTGGCTAAGTACCTCGTCATTTGACCTGCTCGCATGAGAGGATGGTSGAGCTCCCTGGTGGTGAGCTACTTGGTGACGAGCTCCCTGATGGTGAGCTACGTGGTGAT